GCACAAAGGCAGCAAAGCAAAATATACTGTTCATACATACATACAAATTGTATGATACAAGTAACTTACCCATATCGTAATTTAAATCAAATATTTACCAGTTAATTATATTACTTAATTGTACAAGTTTCCCCGCTGTAGCGAAAAATTAAGCCAAACCTTTTCAAGAACTTCGCAATCCTTTGCTACCAAAACGCGTTTACCATAATTCATACTGCACGACGAAGCCAGCACACAGTGGTTCAAAACTGAAATTTAATGTGTAATAATTGACCGGAGCCTTTATTTTTCAACCACTTTTTTACTAAAAACAAAATATTTATTTTGGTCAACATTTTTTTTATAACATTTCAAATTTTTTTTTTGTGTAATTTTTTTGTTTCAGGAGAACCATACAATTGTTTTCAATTAGTTTTTGTTATGTAACATTTATTAACTGGAATACATTTTCTTCTTTTTTTCATATTCTGCGTTTAAAAATTTATCAACTCGGAAACTATTAACTCTGAAAAATGTAGAGCCATTTTAGAGGACAGTTTAAGAAATAAAGGACAAAAGGCGTCCTTTATTTTGAAAAAAATTATAAAGGACAGAAGGTTAAAACAAAGGACTGTCCTTTAAAATAAAGGACGTATGATCACCGTAGGTATAGCGGCCGTTGAAATAAAAAAAAAAATTAAAAGTGGGCGTATTAAACGCGTATTTTCTTTGACCAATCAGATTTGGAGCGATGAGAAATAACAACTGACTATCGAGACATTGCGAGAACTTTTGTTTGTTCGATACAACATTAAAATGACTTGTACGGAATTTTTCGAATTCGTAAAGAAGCAGCCTCAAATGCTGAAAGAAATTGCATCAGATGGAAAATACGCGTTCAGGAAAACTACTCAAGATCAATGAATTGGTTACATAGGCCGACACTTTTGTAATTTAGCAGCAATTGCATTATTTCAGTTTTGAATGTATGTATGTACCTAAATATTTCTCAATTCATAAATAAATATGCTGATGTTTGTACGTCAAAAATTTGTTTGGATATCGACTAATAAACAGCAATAAAATCGTTTCCAAAACTTTTCTTTAAAATTTTGTCTTGCTACAATCTTTTGTGTACGTAAATGAGTTTTTGGAAAAGTGGTCACACTACGCATTCGCATACGCAAAAACTAAGTTTTATTTTCTGAGCAAAAAAAACTCAAGAAATAACGATTATTTTCCAAGCAAAAAATAAAACTTATAACGTAACGATTATTTTCCAAACAAAAAATCAAACTTAAAGCGTAACCATTATTTTCCGTTAAAAAAATTAAACTTAAAACGTAACCAATATTTTCCGAGCAAAAAATGCAACCTAAAACGTAATGATTATTTTCTAATCAAAAAATAAAACTCAAAGCGTAACGATTATTTTCTGAGTAAAAAATAAGACTATACAATAAATCGTTATGTACTGAGCAAAAAATAAAACTCAGTTAATAACGATTAAAAAGTGATTTTTATAATAACAGTTATAACCGTTACGGTCACTGATATATTCATCAATTAATTAAGTAAAACGCGTTTATAAATTTGTGTACGCGTTTTAGCACTTTTCACAAACAAACAGAAATAAAAATCGCTGACAGTAAGAGCAAATGTGTGCTGCCATACATTTTAAAAGTAAGTCCGCCACTATTAAGGGATTTTATTAAAACGCGACCAACACAAAAATTAGTTGTGCGTAAAATTGATATTTTATATGGCAACGGTATTCTAACGGTATTTGTTTTATTGTCTTCTTCTTTTTTCGCATGAAGAAGTTAGCATTGCATTTTTTCGCGTCTTTTCTGTGGTTTCACATATTTTCCTTCGATTGAAATTAAATTTCTTGAGATGAGTGATACCGAGTATGGTAAGTTTTCATTTCCTTACTTTTATTTGAATATATTCCATATCATATTTTTCACAGATTCCGAAGAGCTATCGGCAAGCACAGGGGCGGCAAGATCCAAGCTCCTAACCTCACAGGAGTATCAGGCAATGTGGAATATGCGCACACTTGGGGACCGGCTTGGCACCGTTGCTCAATGTGTTCAGTTTTCAGAGGAGAATGGCCTGCTTTTGCGCAGCAAGTTATGCCCGACGCATAGGATGCCAATAAAGGGAACACTGAGCTGTGCAGTTTTTCTTGCCGGAGGGGGCAATGTCGCACCAAATCGGTTTCCCATGCCAAAAGAACTTGGTTTGAAAATGCGCATATATCGCTGCCGCATATATTTTATATAACATATTGCTTTGCGCAACGCTTCAACCACCATACGATGTGGCTGGAAAATTACGTTGGGGGTCCCTTATCGAGCCGAACGATCACAGATTAGAACAGCTATTGTCGCAAAACAATAGTTTTATATCAGCTTGACCAGCAACAAACTGCTGGCAATATTGGCGGTCCAGGAAAAGTCGTCCAAATATACGAAAGTAAATTTGGGAAAAGAAATTTCAACAATGGCAATATTAATATAAATAGATGGATTATTTTTAAAAAATACTTCAAATTTTCATTTTATTTGGTTTTATCTTTTTAGGGAGGAGAGTTGAGGGCCACTGGGTCCTTGGCATGATAGAAGACGACGATCTTCTGTTGGACGTGTGTCCGGAAAACGTGCGGTCTGCTGAGGTGCCCACACCTCTAATTCAAAAGCACGTAGCGGAGGCGGTCACCACACATACCGACTTTTAGAAGGCGTATGATTGCCTTCCGGATCTCGGGTATGAGCACCAGAAGGTTAACCGCAGTAATCCGGACAACCCGTTTGTGGCGGCAGATGGGACCCATACCCAGAGAATAGAATCACAGTGGAGAGTAGTTAAAAGGTTTTTTTTCCAAAGAAAACTACAATAACCGATCGCATTTTGGTGATTTTTTAGTGAAATTTATGGCGTAAAAACATTATAAAAAAGCTTCTCCAAGCTATAAAATATACTTACAAACCGTATTATTTCCTTTTATGTTGTTTCTTCATTTTTTAATATACTTCCATATATATCATATTCGCTTGTGGCACTTTTTATTATAAAATCGATAATCGCCCGATTTTTTATAACAAATTATCGCCTGCGGCGCTTATTAGATTTAGAATCTGAAAAAGCTCCTCTATACTCCCTAATTTTTTTTTTTTCAAAGCCTGGATTCGCTTTGAAACATTTTCACAAATATGCACATTTTTCACGTTAAAATATTTTATTGTTATTGGTAATTTACCAAATATCGGGAAGAGGATCTGAGGATTTACGCATGTCAAAGAAGGTTCTTAGCTGAATTTGCCCCAAAAAATTACCACAGGTATACAATTTTCGAATAAAATATATTTAGACAAGTAATAGTAGGTGAAATTACTGAAATGAAGATTTTTACTTAAGTGCATATCTGCCGCCGATGATTAAATTAATAAAAATTTGTGTTGTGCTATTTATTTTTACAAGCTTTCATCTAACTTGCTCTGTATGTATGTACATTGGGGTGGTCTAAAAATGCATGTGAAAAAGTAAATTCGGAATATTATATTTTATATGATGAAAAAAAACGTTTCGTATAAATGGTATAGATAGTTAAAAATCAATATTCTCTTACTAGAAAACTGTGCTTATCTGCAGGAGATTCCCAATAATAATACGCAATTGTTTAATTAGCGATTCTTTTATCGCAACTATAATTTATAGGTCCGCCAAAATAACACAAAAACTCCGAAAAATGCTATGGGGCGACCAATAAAAAGTCGTTAGTATTAAAAAATGGTAAAATAAACAATTGGGTACTATTATTGAAAGTATCCTGAAGAGAACCAGAGTTCTTCGATCGAAAAATATCGATTTTCAAGAGTTCTATACCATTTCTACGAAAAATTTTATTTTTGCCATATAAAAATACATGGAAAACTTTGAGCGACCTCTAAATATTTTTTGATTTCAAAATAAAAATATAGGGGTATACTTTTTTCGATATAGAACAATCCTAGGGGAGAGAGCATTATAATTCCGATTTTACTGTTTTTGGACCACCCTAATGTACATATGTAGGGGCAAATTTTGCAATTAATTTTTGTCGATATATTTGAAAACCCCGTATTCTTTATATGAAAAGGAATAACTCCAATAAACATTTTGCCAATAGGTGGCGTACTAGTCGATATATTTGGTAAACCAGTATTTGTGGTTTGCTTGCTTTAAAAATACTTGATTTTACTATTAACTTATATAACACTCTTATATATTTTTGGCGGTTACGTCTAGATATGATATCATATTCTATTAACAAAAGTACAGTATTTCTTAAGTTTGTCACACATATTTATTAATTCCACAATTCTTGCTGTTTAGGATTAAATCTACTTATAAATACATATGCCTAACACTGTAAATGTTAATTACTTTTTAATGCTAATGTGACAGGGTAAATTCATTAAATACATTTCAGTCATTTGCACACTTACTAAATAAGATATTTATGTATATATATATACAGTATATTTTGCTTTGCTGCCTTTATGCTTAAGTGCACATTTAAGATACCTACCCTAAAATGCGCATTAGCGGCATTATTTTTAACATTTATAAGGAAACTCCTCCGATAGGTGCATTCAACATATCTGCACATTGGCGATACCTGCCTTAAAAATTGTGCAACTATTATTAACTATCAAAGAAAGTATTAGGTTTACCTGCACTGGCCCTACAATTACCTACTTTTACAAGCTTTTATTTATTTTGCTCATCTCGCAGAACAACGAAAATGGCTATCAATTTATGTAGTTATATAGATAATTAGATACCATTCGGTAAAAATTTCGCTTGCAGTAATTTTTACGTGGTAAGTGCTCCTCCATTATTTGGTTTCATAGGAATTTGGATACCTTCCTCATTGCAGTAGTAAAGAAAATTCGCTTAGGTGCTTTTTTCGGTTAAGTGCACAAGTTTTTCGTGCAAAGAAGGATGGGCAGCTAAGCAAAATATACTGTATGTATATTTAGTAATAGTCACTATTCCATATTATCTTGCAGCCAATTTAAATGCTGTGCAACATCTACATAAACAACATACTCATACAAATTACATTGTCCGCGCTTTGTCTGTCCGAATGACACAATACCACGCAGCATCCAACGATTGTTGCGTTGCAGAACCAAACCGCTACCCGAATCACCCATACAAGGTCCAACGCCGTTACGATTGCCCGCACAAAATGTACGACTAGTCACCAGTTTGGAGAAGACCGCTGAAGATCGCAGGCAATCCACTTCGGTCACTATTTCGACATCCACTTTCTTGGCAACCGGCGAAACCAGTTCACCATTCTCATTGGATCCCCAACCAGCGACAGTGCCCGAAAGACCAACTATGCGGGTGATCTGCGTAGATTCAGTCCACAGGCAAATGGGGCGAATGTAGTCGGTGAAGCTATGGGGTAGGGTGGAAAGCGATTCAATAAAACATTTTTATAATTGGAAGTCGTAAAGCAATACTATGAAATTTAATAAAAATTTAAGAGAAACACTTGCTATTGAAATGGAGTTAAATTGTTTGTATTACAAGTAATTTTTAGCAAAAAAAAAACCGACTTCAACTCCCATATAAAAAAAAAATATATATATATATATCTCATGATCCGCTGATCGGATCTTTACCAGATTAGTATGGGACCACCTCTGAGACACTACCTTTCCGATTCAAAAAGAATTATCGAAATCGGTTGACGTGGTCCAAAGTTATGCGGTAACAAACATAAAAAAAAAAGATTCCGACGAACTGATAACCTCCTCCTTTTTTGGAAGTCGGTTAAAAATGACATGGCTTAAAATGGAATGATATTGGGTAAAATTAAATAAAATAATAACCCTTCGTGGGTATAAAGAAAACCTCTGCGGAATATGCAGGATTGGTGAGAACTAAAATATCACGCGTGGGCAAAACTGGTAAGTGTAGTAATAAGCATGATAAAAACATAGCAAGGTAGAACCGTTCTCTCAATTTGTCGGCCATGGATTTTTTTTTGAAGTTTGCCAACATTTTAAAATCATATAAAAGTGAAAATAAAAAATTGAAATTGCTCGAAATTGTTGTTGCTTGAGATTGAAAATGAAAATGTGTTTGTGAGTTTGTGAGTAAATTTAAAAATTAAATTGTTTGGAAACGTCAAGAATTTAAAAGTGACTCTCAGCGGTTCTACCTTACTATATTTTTATCATGGTAATAAATTCTCTTTGGGTGCTTGGCTTAGACGCAAATCAAAGCCCCGTTACCTGATATTGCTCACTAATAAATCCAGTGATGCCAGATTGTGGGTTGTTTCCCTACTTGACGGATATTTTGCAACAAAAATTATTAAAAAGGAAAGGGGGGAGGGGGGTTAAAAAATTGCCAGTAAGAATTCAACAATCAAAAACCCAAATGTATGTATGCATTAGTTACCCTAATATAGAAAAAAGTAAGTGGAGAAGTTAAATTTACGTTACATATCTACTTTTTCTCATATGTACCCAGCAAAAAACACGATTACCACAGAAACGAAAGTGGAAACGAGCTAGGCGTTGGGAATCGCTAACACTTTCGCTTCAAGAAGGCATTATTTTAACATGGGCATGTCATTGGAGGTAAGCCCTTGCCCACAGCATTACCTTCAATAGAAGGGAGAACGCATGGTTAAACAGCATCCAGAGAAGCGAACAAAGAATGCCTTACAGAGAAACTAATGTAGAATGCCTAGATAAGTACATACTTATTTATATTAAATTGAAATCAGAAAATGTCTTAAAAGATTAAAATTAATTAAAATTTTTATAAATCAGTTTTTATACATACATATGTATGTATTTAGGTATTTAGATTTTACTTAAAAATCGGTATGTACATACATGCATATCTAATTAAGCTTAAAATTGTACTTCGGCACTCTTGTACTTCATTCATTGACTGACTTCATCTTCGCTGCAAATTGAACAAAGCAATACATGATTTTTAGGCGAGACAAATTTCCACAGAAAGTAACGGTAGAAAAAGAATTTTTGGATATTTATTGTTATTTTTTCGCTGACTACGATGCTGCATTCTACTTTGCATTCCCCGAAATTAAGCAAAGAAGCGAATTGAAAAAGAAGTATTATATGACATTCTACTTTGCATTCCCCGAAACGAAACAAAGAAGCGAAATAAATAAAATATTGTAGGACATTCTACTTTGCATTACCGGCAATGCCTAAAAGAAGCGAAAAAATTCGAAGGCATTATAACGCTATGCCTTCTAGAATACGTTACTACTAAAAGCGATTACCGATGTTTTGCTATGTAGATCCCTACCTCTTCCCCTGTTCGTTCTAGTTACATTTATGTTATTCTGTTTTCCTTTATCTTCATTTTTATCTCTATATCCTATCAATAACAAATTCGATAGTAACATCCAACAAAATATCGAAACCAAAACCGATAAAAATATCGATAACAAAATCGATGACAAATTCGACAAAAATTTCGATAGAAATGTCGATAAAGGTATTCCAAAATCCATAAAAAATATCGTTAACAAAATCGGTAAAAATATCGATGACAAAATTGAAAATAATCGATAACAAAATTGATAACTAAATCGATAACAAAACCGATAAAAATGTCGATTATTATATCGATAAGTCCCGAGAATCCCGAAAATATCTAAAATTCCCAAATAGTTCCCAGATTGAGTCTCTGTGTCTCTATTTACATATGGGTCATTCCATAGAATATTTACACCTCAATATTTTTTTTGGGGGTAAAATATACTTTTTTAAATTCTTTATCGAAAAAAAGAAGACACCTATTTTTTATTTCGTCATGATATTCGAAAATCTCAAAAAAAAAAAATTCCCGAAATTGTGAACTCACGGAGAAGTATATTTTTTTAATTGTTTGCAGTTAATAAACTATTTGTCGGAGAAAATCAGTTAAGGTATCAAAATATGCGTAATTGTCTCGGCTTTCCACGAGAGTGTGAGATAGATTAAGATAAAAACAAAAACATTTTGCATTAACAAATAGCATTTTTTTTTTAATTTCATCATGTTTGATTTTTATTTTTTTGTGGACGAGTTTTTTAATACCTGCGTACATAATTTTTATACTAAAGAGATTTTGGAATATCATGAGGTAATAAAAAATGGGTATCTTCTTTTTTCGAAATATATTTCACCAAAAAAAAAATATTGAGGTGTAAACATTGTATGGAGTGATTCATATGTATATCCTTTTCTCTATAAGTACCTTTATTTTAATCTTGCTTCCTCTATCTTCATTTTTACTTTCATCGGTATCCTCATCCTCATTTTTTCTTTATATTTATCTTTGATTTTACTTTTATGTTTATCATTTTCTTCATCTACATATTCCCCTTCACCATTGCCCTTATATACATAAGTAAAGTGCTTAAATTTACCTTGGTGTTCACTTTTATATCAGAGCGCACTTGTTCACGAGGGTATTATAACTTTGTTCACATAACGGTTGTTTGTAACAGGCAAAATGAATCGATAGCTATAGACAAATGTATACATAAATGATCAGAATGAAGAGAGAAATCGATTAAGCGGTGACGTCTGTCCGTCCGACTATGCACACGAAAAATCGAGCAAAAATTGAGATATCTTAACGAAACTTGGTACGTGCACTTATTTCGGGCGTAGGACGGATGGTATTGAAAATGGGCAAAATCGGATAATAACCTTGCCTACCTCCCAGTAACGGTAATTTAAGAAATACTAAAACTGCGACGTTTTAGTAACTACTGAAGATTATTCACTGAAAATTGATATTTACAATCGTTTTCAAACGAAAAATAAGAATATTATAAACTTTTGGAAAATGGGCGTAGCCACGCCTACTTATGGTTACATGTGTATATCTTGGTAACCGCTGCACTAAAGCTGATGCCACATAAAACTTTTGCTTCTCTTTACATGGCAGATTCGCTTTGACAGATAAGATGAATTGTATGAAAATCCACAAAGCATGCCACATAGATGGTTGAAGCTGCAGCGCGAAGCGAAAAGATGGCCAAACCTCGTCTTTTTGCGCGCCTTGACAATCAGCAGGTTTAATATTGATTTTGTTTCGTCCAAATTCGAGTTTTCATGTAGAAACATAAGACTTAATTACATTGCTGATATTTTTAAAGCAAAATATATAAAATCCACAGCAATTTTGACGAGTTAAAAAGCAGTATAAAATTGTTTTCTTGGCGTTCATTGTAGCATACTTTTTGCGTCTGGCGCTTTGCTGGCAAAGTTATAAATGTCACGCTAAGCTACAAAGTTTTATCTGGCATTAGCTTAATTTTTTCCAAACTTGGCGCAGTTGTTGGCCTTAGTACAACATACCAAATGACCGAAAATCTTTAAAATCGGACATTAACCACGCATACATCCCGTATAACGGTAATATAGAGAAATACGAAATATTCGCTATTAAAAGGCATATTGTTTTTAGGTGTAGGTTTGGACGGTTAGTAATTTATTAGTATTTTCGATAAAATTAACACATTTTCATTTTGTGAATTTAAGTCTAAGTAACAAAATTTATTTTTATAACATTACATACGTCACTTTTAGTGAGCGAATCAATTCCACAGTGACTTAATGTCAAAATTGACATTATTTCACTTACTTAATGTCAAAATTGACATTATTTCACTTTTGGCTTGTGTGTTAATGTCACTGACATTAATTCCATTGACATTATTGCACGTCACCTTCAAAAGAAGTACACGTACCAAGTTTCGTTAAGATATCTCAAATTTTTTCAGATTATCATGTTCACAGACGGACGGGCGGACAGGCAGTCACGGCTTAATCGTTTTTTTTTTCATTCTGATCATTTATGTATACATTTGTCTATAGGCCAAAACACAATAGCGCAGTGGCAGTGGCAGTGACAGTTTTTAAAATCAGCTGTTTCTGCTAATATTGGCAGTCAATGCCGCAGCAAACACAATACGGCGTTGTCAGTGACTGCTTTTTTTGACATTCCCTTTTGTTTGTTTACATTTTTGTTGTTGCCTTTTAGGCTTCAGTGACATCAACAGATGTTGGCTGCGTTTCATTTATGTCAAATTCAGCATGCGAAGTTTGCTGCGATGAAGGCAGTGGCAGTGAATTTAGAATTTGGGCTAAACTGAGCAGTACTGCTAGCTGCCACTGCTGTATTGTGAGTCGCTTCATTGGACACCACACTTTCTAAAAAACAGCTGATTTCGAAAAACTGCCGCTGCCACTGCCACTGCGTTATTGTATTTTGGGCTTATATCTATCTCGATTCGTTTTGCCTGTTACAAACAACCGTTATGTGAACAAATATAATACCCTTGTGCACAAGTGCGCTCGGGTTTAAGAACTTTTCGTTCGTTTCCACAGAGAATTCTTCTTTAGGAAGGTATATACTTGCATTATAAAATAGTTCACAAAACACATAAAAAATTGGTTTAATTACTATATCACCAATATGTAGACATTATTAAAATGAATAACAAAATCTATAGCTGAAACGTATTTTAGTACATTTTTTACATTCTGCTGCAGTTTTTTGTACACAAAAAGAGGTATGTAAGTGGCAACAGTGCTTGGAATCGTAATAATAAAGAGCGTATCAGTTGTAGTTAAATAACAAAGCAGCAACAGCTGGGAAGGCTCCGAAGGCTTGCACTTTCATTCATTTAATCATTTGAATGTGTGAGTTTGCCGACCACCACTGGCTTACTTCATTTAAAATCTATTCTGCTAAGCTGTCGATTTTAATTTAAATGCATTTTTATCCCGATGGCTTACTTACCTACCAACCGTTTGCATACGCAACACTGCTATATCCGCGTCTGGCAGATTGTTATAATCTGGATGTTTGATCAAACGCTCAACATCGCGTGTGAGGAATCCATCCTCACTGAAACTCTCCAAATTAGTGCGACCGAGAAATAATGCAATTTGTGTGGCAGCCAAATTCTGAAAACAGTGAGCTGCCGATACAACACTGCGAGCCGATAACATTGTGCCACCGCAAATGTATGACAAAGTATGCACAGACTCTTTTCGGTAGACAGCAGTCATCCAAGGGAATTGACCACGCACCAACTCATTGCCACCATGCAGGAATGGACGGACGACAGTACCTTCAGTACCGCAGGTAAAACTGGTATTTTGTTGTACGCGCTCCGTGAGGAAGATATTAGAGAACTTCGGTGGTGAGGCGACGACTGCTGGCAGGGTGGGTGCTGAAGAAAGTGCTGACGCAGCGGAGGGTCGTGGTGTAGGCACAACTGTAGTTGTTGGTGCAGGTAGAGCCGGCGCAGATGCAGGTGCAGGTGTTGCGCCAGTGTATGCGTTCACGGCGTAAGTGAGCTCAAACCAACTGCTTGGCGCTGGATCTACATTTAAAATTCAAAGAACAATTACTGCACCAGTGTTTGCGCCAAGATAATTTTTTTATGTTTGTTTTTATACATACATGCTGGGCCCGAACAAAGCACCTGACCATTGATGCTGAGCTGTGTTAGTTTAGGCGGCTTTTTTGGATTTGGAAAGTGTACGCGGAATAATGCCGGCATACGCGTCACTTGCAGTTGTTCGTCCGGATATGGCGTGATGGTGCCATAGTAATTCTGGGGAGTATTAAGCGATTGACCAGTGCACTTATATTATTTACACATACTACATACATACATATGTATGTACATCCATACATACTTTGCGGATACTTACTGAAGTTAATGAGTCGCGTTGTGAGAAAGTCACTTTAATCGCTGTGCGTCCTCTTTCCAAGCGATCCAACTTAATTGTGCCGAAGTAGTCATTGCCCTCGCGAACATAGAAGAAGCGCTGCTCACAAGGCGATGTGTCTGGTAGTTGCGGCGTGGACAAGTCGGGGAGTAATAAAATGCTGAGTAACAAAAGGGGCCACATAACTATTTTCTTTTATTTTGATTTGTTAAACGATGGTAGGTATTTTTTAATGAAAGGTATACGGCACGTTTAAACAGACCTACTGCTTATTTTCTGAACTGGTGAGCGATACAAATTTATATAGACTTTTGTTTTTAGAATTTGATTGAACATATTAGCATCATATCTGAGCCCATGGCTATAATGTTGGCTTTTACATTGAGTTTTGCTTTATAATTTTGGGGAATATTTGTTTATGTGAACTTCGTGATAGCTCCAATTTTATTTTATGCATTTTTTTCGATAATCAACTCACGTTACACAGCTTTTTTACACTTCTTTTTATTATTAATGGGTATACATTTATCAGCGAATCTCATTTTCATTCTATCTAACGGGTGATTTTTTAAGAGCTTGATAACTTTTTTTTTTAAAAAAACGCATAAAATTTGCAAAATCTCATCGGTTCTTTATTTGAAACGTTAGATTGGTCCATGACATTTACTTTTTGAAGATAATTTCATTTAAATGTTGACCGCGGCTGCGTCTTAGGTGGTCCATTCGGAAAGTCCAATTTTGGGCAACTTTTTCGAGCATTTCGGCCGGAATAGCCCGAATTTCTTCGGAAATGTTGTCTTCCAAAGCTGGAATAGTTGCTGGCTTATTTCTGTAGACTTTAGACTTGACGTAGCCCCACAANTCTTTGACACCATGTCTGAAATCCCACGTGATCTGTCAAATACTAATGCATGAAAATCCTAACCTCAAAAAAATCACCCGTTATATACATACATATGTATATGAATGTTTGTTCTTTTGTATTTATATCACACGCGTACTTTGCGTTAGCAGACACGCAAGTAACCAAATACCAAACCGAGCACGGCAAGCAACTTACTGCGATTGCGACCTCTTAGTTTCACTGCAACAGGTTGAAGTGATCATTTAAGTCGGCACCGCAACAATGTAAACAAGTTGAAGCTGAAGTGTGCATTAGACGTCAACATATAGCCTACATGGTGCATTCCAAAGTAAACAAAACTTTTCGAGTATTTTTTTTCAAATTAATCTTTGTTATGAAAACACCTTTAGGGTTATTATATTAGCGTTGTTATTCAATAAAGGTTAACTTAGACGGAAAGTTATGGCTTAAGAGTTCACTCAGAGGCTGGAAAGGTTCATTTTGATGCCTGGGAGGAATACCATATCTATCCGAGCATGCCTATAAACCTTGCTGACCAGTTCTGTCACCGTACCGTATCACAGTGATTTCTTATGGCTATTGCGATCTCTAGTTCTTTTAATAACACAAAAATGTGTAATAGTTCTAATAAATGATGACAAATCAGTGTTGGTGCATGTAGGGATAATTCCCTACCCGTAGGGATTTCAGTCGAAAACCTATAAACCTTGCTGACCAGTGCTGTCACCGTACCGTATCACAGTGATTTCTTATGGCTATTGCGATCTCTAGTTCTTTTAATAACACAAAAATGTGTAATAGTTCTAATAAATGATGACAAATCAGTGTTGGTGCATGTAGGGATAATTCCCTACCCGTAGGGATTTCAGTCGAAAAAAGGCTACACTCAGAAAGAGAGAAAAGTTTCAATTATTGGCTCAAAAATTGTCATATTGCACCTGGTGTTTTATTAATATTTGCAGCCATCTTTATTCGTTGAAAAAAACTATGAAATAAAAAACGGAACTGAATGAAAATTCGCAACATACATACGAGAATATTCCCAATAAATAACTACAAATTGTAAAATCACCATTTCTACCATGGAAGAGAAAACTCACCATTCGCAACTTCTGAAACCGAAAATTTTTCTAAAAAAATTAATTGAACAATTTAAAATTTCGATGCAAGTTTCTTGGTATTTCTTGCATTTTCCAGTTCTGTATGAAATTAAAAAAATGTATTCTTTCTCTTCTCTTCGGTTTTTCTGCCGAATGGCCATATTTTTATAAAAACAAGAAAAATTTGTAATGGAAAGTATAAATAAATAAAATCGTCAAAACGTCAGGGTGTTCATAATTTTGGTGATAACTGTACATATATATATACGAATTCATAGCCAACTGTGATTTACAAAAACAATTATAGCGAACGTCACGAACGCCAGTTGCCCTGGAACGAAAGCGAGTGTCATACCAGCACATGCACTGTGATCGAAAAACCGCTGCAGCTTAAAAAAAATAAGAGTTGAACAATTTTTTTTTCTCCCAATTGAGAGCGAGTGACTGCTGACCTTAACTTATTTTATCCGATTATTTTATCCGATTAAAATCGGAGCCCCAGAAGTAAGAAAAAAATGGTTTGTGAAAAAGGTGAAAAAAAAAGATTATCTTCAATAAATAATAAATAAAGCAACTTTTAGTAAAAGCCTGCAAAAAAATATTGCATATAACTTGCATACTATTTGCACTAGAGCCAACAATTTTTGTTAAGTATCACATAACAATAATACCTATCTAAAATAATCGATAGAATAATGTTTTCAACTTTGAGGGTCCCACTTGAGAAATTTTTACTCTTATATAATATACATAAAATAGAAGCGTGTGTGAAATATATTGAATAAACAATATTTTTGATTTAAAAGTTGTCTTGTTATTAATTTCAAACATCAAATTTATAAGTTTTATAATATCTATAACATTTCATTTTTTTGGTTTTTGTTTAGGCTTTAACAATACATCGTCTAATCATCATTTGTACCAACGTATGTAAAATATTGGTAGTATTCTAGGGTTAATAGCGATTTCTATGCGCTTAACATTTTATGTGTTTAAAAATCGTAGTAAAAGCTAGGACACTTTCACCACTTAGCTTATAAATCTCCTAAATACGTAATTCGTGTTATACCCTCGATTTCGAAAAATCACTAAAAAGTTAAAGGTAAACAAATGTACGTAAGCACTTTGTAATTTTCGCTTATTCAAACATAATTTTTTTATCGTCAGTCAATCTTGTGAAATATGGCGAGCAAATACCCACAGCAGACACTGTTACAAAGGCGATCAAAAATTGTCGCAGCATAATTGAATTTCTTTTAACAATAATTTAAAACTGATTCAGTTACAAAGTGAAAAAATCTCCATTGCCGATAGTACCCAAAAATATTGGTATGTGTTTATGTATAAATGTATGTGTGCGTAATGCGAAAAAACCCTGCAAAAAATCAAACTAGTACTGGCACTCGCGCCGAGATAGATTGAAAAGGGACGGTGCTGATTTTTCATCTATCCAAACTCAATCCTTTCAAGTGTCGTTTTTCAGATGGCAGTGCCCTACGATGTAGATATTTCCCGTTCCCCACTGCAGAGATTTAGAATTGATGCTGAACTGCCACCATTTTGGACAGATATGGTGGTACAATCAGATTTTTATGAGAACAAATTTTTAAGATTATATATTTTAGATATTTTCTTATTACAGATTACATTCTATTTAATTGTTATTTTTATTAAATAGTATATTTTTCTCTTAAATTTTCAAGTGTCACGCAACAGTTTAAATTTATTAAAGATGAAATCTCCCAACTCGAGATGGGCACGTGAGAGATTTTGGCTCACGTTCGCGCACGCTCACGTTGATGGTTTTGTAAATCACGCACACTCACGTTCTGCTCACGTTTACGCACGCTTACGACGCCTAGTTTTGTAATCACGCACGCTAACGCACGCTTCTTTGCGGGAATTTTTAATTTTTTTTTTCAAATTGAAACTTTGTTTATATAAATGGTATTTTATATAAATAGGCCTTATCGCACAAGTATTGTTACAAAAGCTTGGCCAAACACCTTGCCTGGCATGAACGCACTATTAATTTCTTTTAACAAATTTCATAGAAAAGAGGATTTTACCAAGCAATCGTGTAGGCCTTTCTTTTAAAATTCTGCCTGGCACAGAAAAACCTCATTCAGTATATGCTGAGCTAGCTGGCAACTTTTGTTTTCTGATCTGTATTTGTGTCGTTCCATTGAAAAGAGGAAAACGACATAAATTTAAATATGCCCTAATTATCTCTATTTCAGTAGTAACCTCTTTTTAAATGACTACTTTTCATTAACCTGTGGGAAGATATTAAAAAAAATCAAAAGAAGTTGCAATTTTTATATATGGAAACTTTTATTTCGTGCATAATTACTTTACACCAATCAAAAAGAGATCTTCCACCAGACACAACTCTAAGTAGTTTTTAATATTTCTATGAAGTTTATACAAATCTCATATTTATTGAAAACGAAAGCGTATAATTCATATTTTACAACAGAAGTACATCATACGTGAAAATTAAGTGTTTTGGTTAAAATTCACCTTTGAGTGCACAAGTGTGAAATAGAGTTCTTTTCAGTGTCCCACCAATAACATTCCCTAAAACTAAGAAATCGTTTCGTATTTTTGTTAAAGCAATTTTATATATTAGTTGTCGTTCTATGTTAAAAAATATCTTACGCTCTTGTATAAGTTCCGACGACATCGTTAAAATTCACAATTGATCACATTCTGGAGCAAAATGTCCCACTAGTCTCGATGGAATGGCCCATTTCCGCATTAATGTCTTCAAAAACTGTTTATACAGATTCATCTGTTGTACCTTTGAACTCATCAAAAATGAAACGATAATTAAGTTAAACAGTAATAGTTTACGCCCTTATTTTGGTTGAAAAGACACCTACATATTAGACTGTGTTTCCATTGGAATTATAAAATCTATTATATTTTAAAACTTGCAACAAAATATTACGGAAAAGTTTTATTTAAAATAGCTTATTAATGAATTAAAAAAATCTGCTCAGATAACAAAACAGTTTAAGCTTAAAAATTTGCATAAACAAATTTAAAAAAAATTTCACCGGAATCGTAATAATGAGATTTTGATGCTGTTTTTTTTTAACTTGCTTCAAAGTTTGGTATAAGAAAAACTTGAACACCTGGAACAAAACTATTCCGATTTAGACTTATGAAGTACTATTGCAAAGCTACTTTTTCTATTTCTTTGCAAACGAACTCTTTCAAAGTATGAAAGAAAAAGATAGGAGGAACGAGCGTCATTCCATGTTTTTGGTATTTTAAAAAAAATTTAATGAGTTTTTTGCACATAAATAAAAAGAGTGTGAAAATATCTTTACAATAATACCTCATAAGTCTAAATAGTTTCGGGCCAGCTATTCACGCTTTTCTTAAACCAATCTTTGAAAAAAGGTAAAAAAAAACAGCATCAAAGATCTCATTACGATTCCGTTGAAAATATTTTTAAATATTATTATGCAGCTTTTTTAAGCTTAAATTGTTATGTCATCTGAGGCGCTTCTTTTCTAAAAGTTCTTTAAGAAACTATTTTTATTCATAAAAAACTCCATTTTTGGAGGTACGTAAATCTTAATATTTTCCCGAAATATTTTGGTGGACGTCTTCAAATATAATAAAAAAATTTTGTAATTCCGGCGGAAAGCAAGCAACTTTTTTTTGGAGGTGCAGTCCATACATATATACATATCAAGCCCTAACCGCTAAAAATATGTAAGCGAAATTTTGGAAAAATTTTTATTGTGATGCTTTAGGAATATTTTTGCATTAAAAAGAAAATTTTGGAAAAAATGTCCTTACATGTTTTGGCGGTTAGGGCTCGATATGTGAAAATTACCCAACGATCACGGAAATTACGTGATTTTTCTGTCAAAATCGCTCACGCGTGATACGACGTGTCACGTAGAAAATAAAGTCTTTTGCCCATCTCTACTTCCAGCTGCTACAGTACTTTCGTACTTTACGTGTAGAGAGAATTGTACATTTACTCCTCAGAAGCGTCCGGACTACTTAAACTCGATTTAAATTCATCAAATTGTGGTCTATACTAACGCACTATTTTGAATATGTATGTATATATTGAAGTAAATACATATGTATGTATATTCCAGGTAGCTTTTCAGTACAT